TTAAAAAAAAAAAAAAAAAGCAGCATCTATTGCACCCTGTCCCAGCATCCTGGCACAGCCATGCCCAGCTGAACCCGGTGTTCTGAGCTGTGGGGACCAGGAGACCTGGCAAGGAGGGGACCAGAGGAAGCCCAGCAGGTGTGTCCCCAGGGACAGGAGGCGGCCAGGCTCCAGGTGTGTCCACTTGCAGTGAGGCCAGCTGAGCAGGAACTGACAGGCCAGCTGCATGGCTCACCCCTTTCCTAGACCACAGCAACTGTGCACTGTACTGTGGCCTCTCTGCTACCCGTGGAGGCAAAGCCAGCACCCTGAAGTCCCCTGGGGCACGCCCAGCCAGACTGTGTCTCTTGCACGAGGGCATCAGCACCACCTGCCAGGGTGGGTGACATAAGGCACTGTGTCTCTTACACAGCACAGTTTCCAACAGGAAGACAATAGTAGAAAGGACTGTTTCTAAGCAAGCTCCAAGGCAATGACCACCTCCAGGAACAACTGGACTGATCTAAGAGTAGACCCAGCCAAAGTCAGGGGCGATGTTACAGCCAAGCCTCAGCCACTGGGCGCTGGCTGTGGATGGTCCCCAAACCCCACAAAATGTGACTGAGAATCACCAGCAGATGTGGCACAAGGTGTCTCCACTTAAGTCTGAGGTGTGGTGGCACAGGGGCAGAGCCTGGACTGAGCACACAGGAGGCCCAGGTACCTCCTCCAGCACAAACAAACAAAAACCTTGACTTTTCCAAAAGGTAAAAAAAAAACCAAACTCAAGAGGCAACAATACAAGATCTACACGAGCCATTCCCAGGCAGCAACACATTTAAGCAGAGGAAATAAACTGCATATACATTGGCAGGGAAGACCTGTAGGCTGTACCTCACCCTATGCCAGAGCTCTTCAGCCACAATACGCAGCGACCTCCTGCAAACCTGGACCTCAAGAATCTTGGGGCTCATTAGGAGACGCAAACACACCCATCAAACCCATGAAGGAGTCAAGAAGGTAAAAGTCACCTGTACCAAATGTTAAAATGCAAGGTGCATTCTCAGCTTAGGGAAAGCTTAGTGGATGCAAACTGGCAGGAAACAGATAAGCAGAAGCAAGGACAGGGCATATTCACCATTTTACCGAGAACTGTAATGTCTGGAAAGGAAAGTGTTCAGTTCAAACTGCAAAAACAGGGCCAGCAAGGTAGCTCAGCAGACTAAATGCCTGCTTAGGCAGCCAGCTCAACAGCCTCCACCAGGTATCTCTGTCACTAAAAGCCTGGGAACACAGGCGACCAGCCTAGGTCATATTCAGTAAATGAATTTCAGATGGATTTTCCTTTTCCATCCATTCCTCAGAAACCAGAACCAGACATTCTCTGGTGGTTTACACAAGGACTCAAATGAATGGACACTTCATCAAGAAAGCTTTCGGTCCATAGACAAAGGCCTATGCAATGGCCCTGCCAGTCAGGTGGGCGTCAGTGCCAACTGTGCAGAACATGGCTGTATACAACTGAGGTCACGCTCCAAACACCAGGAGAAAGGGCAGGGCTGTGTGCAGCTCATCACAAAAGAGAGCTCAGCACAAGGCCCTGGGTTCAACCCCAGCACAGCAAATATAATTTGAATAAAAATAAGCTGAGGTAGCAAAATGACACCAAAGCCAACTTTTGCACTCCTACCAAGGGCACTTCTCACCCCTTTCCCAGGAAGGTGTTTCACAGCATTGTGCCAACTATGCTGAGATTCCTCACCTTCCCTACAACCCCGTTTCTCCAACTTCATCCCTATGGATGAAAGCCAAACATGACCCAGGACATCTGCGGTGAAGGCAAACACGACATCAACTGCTTGCACTGCCCCTGCAAGGACCCCTCTCTACCATGGTGGCCTTTCCTGAAGACCATCCTAGGACTCCTTGAAGGCCTGCAACACTGCAAGACACAGCAGGCGAGTGGCCGCCACACCAGGCTCCTCCCTCTCCATCCAGCAAGTGGTGTTCCATGCACATTTTTACATGAGCTCCTGAGTTCGCTGCTAACATGAGAAGATGCTCTGTGGCTGTCCCACTCAACAGCTAAGAAGACCAGACATGCTTCTCTTTGGTCTCCAGCTCCTGACCGTAAAATTTAGGGATTTTCCTAAACCCGCAGGATCTAAGCTGGCAGCATATGGCAGCTTCAAGCCAAGGAACACAGGACACATTCTGGGCACTAACTCACCCAGAGCCAGAGTGCATGAGCCCGTACTTGCTCCCCAGAGCAGGCAGCCACTCCCAGCACCCAGATGGTTGCAGACCCTAAAGGCCAGTGTCTGCACTGGACCTATGTTCGCACACACACCTCAGACCCTCTCGGTGGCATGCAATGCCCAGATGCCTTGTGAATGCTTGCTATACCATGCTGTGCAGAGACAGACAAGGAAAATAGCCACACAGGCTCAGTGTGGACACCATGTGGTCAGGCTTTCAATATATTCCATCTGGGGCTGAGTACAGATGCGGAACCTGTAGGTAAGGAGGCCACTACACGCAGGGCAGCTAAGTCCTCCTCCCAACACAGTGCACGCAGCCTGGAGAGGTGGCAGCAGGCTGTATCACTCAGCTGAAGCACGCTGCTAACACCTTATGAAGTAACGCCCATTTCCCTGGTGCTTCCAAACCCTCCGGACACGGAGCCAGTCTAAGGGTGGGGCCTCCTGGCTCCCTGGACTGCAAGTGTCAACTCCTCACCCAGTACCCCAGGCCTGCGATGACACCTCGGTGTCACTTGCTCACAAGCACCTGCAAGGGCCAGACATGCCCCTGAGGCTGCACCCCACCCCACGAGAAGAAAAGACCCCCTTTCTTCTCCTTCTCAGAGCAGATCCCCACCAGGCTGCCCCTTGCTCACCTCTTTCTGACTGGTACACAGCTCCACTGGGCCTCGCCCAGAACCATGGGCTCCAGTAGGCCCACGCATGGTCCTTGGCTGTCCTCTTCCATGAGGAGAGAGCTGGCGCCTCCCCATTCTCTGGGGCCTCAGTGGCCTCCGAGGCAGCCAGGCCCTACACTGCTGGGGGAACTGCCCTCTGCCATTACCCAGGGGACCTGGCACTCTGGAATAGGCACCGTCAGTTAGAATCCATCAGAATGCCATGCTAGGGACAGTGTGGGGGACCTACACCACACCTGGGGCAGCAACCTCTACCAGTGAAAGCACCATCACCCACTAACCCCTCACTCGTCCAGAGTGCACGAGCCTCTTCCTGAAGCTCAAATGCTGGACCCTCACTTTCAGAAAATGGGTTGAACAAAGAAAAGTTCCACCCTCAGCTCAGCCCCCTTCTGTACATCTGTAGGTCCACTCTCAACACTGGGGGGTCCCCCTCTGCCTCTGCCTGGTACATCTAGGTTGTATAGCTCTGAACCCTCCCCCCAGGACTCCACAGTGCATGACTCAAAACCCACTCAAGGTACTTCCCAGCAGTGCCAGTCAGCCTTCCAACCCCCGATGCTGTACCCCAACAGGGGCCTGCACCAGAGAGGTGCTCAGTCTCTTCCTGCCACCAGCCTGCATGTGTAGCACCGTGGTGGTGCCAAGGAGACAGCATGGCACCAGAGCTTTGGGGCCACACCAGCCAAGCAGTGGGGTGCACTTCACCACATGGAACATGGCCTTGAAGAGCCACTCCTTTTCTCAGGCCTACTTAGCAAATCCAGCTGCTTCCTGGGGGTCTGCCACGCACCCCTTGTCCTAAGGGCATGCCTCCAAGAGAAGGGCAGAACCACGGAGTGACAAACTCGACACCTGTGCAGTCTGTGACTTAGCAGAGCAGGCCCCTGGGTTACGCACTGGCCTGGCACAGCCCTGTGCAGGCGTCTGGTAGTGCAGACCTCCCCATGCACCGGCTTCTGAGCCTTGAACTGAAGGAAGCATGACTCCACACTGCAGGCACTCTCTTGCCGCACTGCATGGGCCTCTGTTGGATGTAGCAGCCCGGCCTTTCCAAGGGTACATACCCAACAGGTAAACAAAAAATAGCCTCTTTTCACTCATGTTTCCAAACACTGCATTCTAAGGAACACCAAGGATGCTGTTAGTGTTTACAGATGTCGTGAAGAACTGCACAACCAACAGCATAAACTATACTGGCTGACCAAAAAGCCTAGACCCCAGACCAATTTAAAAAAATGTGTTTAACACATTCAAACTGTTAAAATATGAGCTAGTTTTGCTTCATTGTTTAACACATTCAAAGATGAAGCTTGGGGCCAGAGAGATAGCTCAGCAACATAAGCACCTGCCTCGCAAGCACAAGGTCCTGAGTTTGATCACCAGCCACCGCAAAAAAAAAAAAAAAAAAAAGATGAAGCTAAACCAGTTATTTTCCACCTCATCTCAACAACCACCAGAAGTCATCTTTGAGAGGGAAAGGTGGTTAGTGTTGGATCTGTCAAAGCTGGAGTCCCATTCTCCAGGACACAGAGGCATATGCCGCCCGAGGTCCAGATCCGCCCAGGCTGACCAGCCCTCCCAAGCAGAAGCCCCCTTGGGGTCGAGGGCCCAGGACACCCTCCATCCCACTTAACTCGCAGTGGACACAAAAGTGTAAATGTAACACAGTCTGGAGAAATTAGAAATAAAGCAGCAGCATCCAAGCCCCACAAATGCAGCAAGGCCTTGGGGACAAAGAGCACAGGGCAGCGGGGAGGCTGCCTACGCAGCTCTCCTCAATCCATCCTCCCCTCCACCCTTGTCCCTGGTGGAAAAGATCTGAACACAAACAGGTCTGTTGCCACCCTGAAACAAAGGCAGAAAACTACAAAGAGCAAATGTTATGGTAACATTCGTCTGCAGCATGAAACAAATATACTTACATCTTTTGCCATGTTACCAGATCCAGGAAATCAAGGATATGGCTGTGTACCCTCCACAGAAGAAAGCTGGTTTTTCTGGTAAAAAGAAAGGAAAGATGAGTAAGGCATAAGAATGAAAAAAGTTTAACAGGCATCACATCTCAAAGGAAATGTCTCCCACCAGCACGTGTATGGCCTCCAGCAGCACAGAGGTCCCTGCCAGATCCGGACAGCGGAGCCGGCCCAGCAGGTCCTGCACTGGGATCTCGCCACCTCTCCAAATGGACACGCGCCCCAGGGGCACCACTGCAGCACGGCTAGAGCTAGACTCCAGCCCGAGCAAAAAGGGGCGCAGGGGTCAGGGCTCCCCTTACCCGGGCGCAGGGCCCCACCTGGTGCAGGGCCGCACCAGGGCGCAAGGCCACAACCGGACGCGGGGGCTTCCACCTGGGCGCAGGGCCCCGCGCACTGACAGGTGGCCCCCAGCCCCGCCCGCCCGCCCGCCCGGACCTGTCACTAGGCGCGGACCCCAACCCGCTCCAGGCCCTCGGGACCCCAGCGCCAGGGACGGGTCGCGGTCAGGGTCTGGCGCGTGGCCGGGAGGCGCGCAGGCTCAGCCGCGCGGGATGCAGCCCGGGCCCCGCAAACCCGCATCCCGCGCGC